TGAGTTAATACTTGAAATGTCAGAGGAATTTCTCTAAAAGTTAGGATGAGAGGGTATTAAATATAGAAATAACATCTAATTACCGAGGTAATTCATAAAAATTTCCTCCTGCATTTTTTTTGGATATTATTAGTTTGTTGTAAAAGAAAGACATGGAAATTATTTACATGATGAAAATTTTAGAACTTAGGTGTAATGACCAGCTGCATGTAATGCCATTTCAATAGTGATTTAATTTTAGTCTTCATATTTACCAAGAAGGTCACCTTCTCTAAATAAGAAATGATCCTTGTCATCTAGAACTGCTGTGCTACCTCCATATTCTGACAGAAGACATTATTTCCAGTTTTCGTGCTAACTGGTTAAAGCTTTCTACTCTTTTCCTTTAGAGCTTATTTTAAGACCTGCTATTGTTGCTTGCAGTACTTTTCCCTGAGATTTTTCTGGAAACATAATACCTTTTGTGGTTAAACTTTGGGCTGTACTCCTTTCAACGAATGAATACTCAGTCAAAATGGGGAAGAACTTTTCTAAATGCCTGCCCTACCATGAATCCTGGGGCCTCAGTTCTTACCTCATTTTCTCACTCTCCCCTCCACTCTTGATATAAATATCTTCTTACACTCCTACCATCTAGAATATTATTTCATATCACCATAACTTTGTGTTACAAAATTTAAATGATTGTGATAATTCTGTCAAGAACTCTCATTTGTCTAGATGTCTGCCATGTATTCAGCAATGAAACATTGAGTGATTACTCTGAGACAGATTGTGCGTTAAGTAGGGGTCTATCCAGGTCACCCAAACACCCCCTTCAGGGAACTTCCAGTCAGATTATCTTTTCAAGACCCCTCCTTACCTATGAATATAGGTGCAGATTTATCCAAAAATTACTAAACACAAAATTTATGTAAACTATATAAATCTTTAACATTACCTGAATTTTTAAGTTATGTACTAAAATCATATATTGGGCTAGTCATTAAGTTTTATATTTTAAAAGACACCTGTGTCAACTAGTTCATCCTAAACCTGCGACAGTATCTAATATACTCCATAAGGTAACCTGGAGACGAAATATTAACTATTTCACTACTAGATACTTCCAAGTCCTATAATAAATATAAGTAGTCGCTGAAAAGCCTTTGTTTAGTATGGCATCCTATTTTCAACGTTAATAATTTTTTAAATTGGCTTTGAATGGTTAGCACCATGTATCCAGTCAGAATTGGTGAGAAAGACTAAAATAGTTTGAGGGGGCGAGAAGGCCCCAAAGATTAAACCATACTTATCCTGAGGTTAGTAAGTACTATGTATTTTAAATGCCCTAGCCAAATTCCACCTTCCAATCGTTTCACTGGAACTTTGCAGATTGTTTGACGATAAAATAGGACTTTAAGAACAGCAAAGAAGAACTGTATTTTTACCCAGAAAACTTACCATTTGTTCTGAGCACACTATAACGTTATTAAACGTGTGGGTATACGTACCTAAAGTTTATTTTTCTCTCAGTTTGTAGCACATTGGAGATGGTAAATCTTCATTATTTACCTTTTACTTCTAAGTATGCTTTTCAGTTTAAAGGTTTTGGAACTGGAACAAAAAAAACCCACTGACTTCTGTGGTCATTACCTTTCTTCTGTGTTAAAAGACTAGGACTTTTAAAATAACACCAGCATGGTTCTTTGATGGCCAAGCAAAAAAGCAGGGAGTCATAGAAATCTCACAGCACACCATAATCATCAAGCCCCTCTGTTTCTGCTCAACAAAGAATAAACAATAGTAACCACCTGAGGTGTTCAGACCAAACAAGTTTTGTATATTTGTGTATCTTTAGATTAGCTTTGCTTCCATACTTAAGTGTGCAAAAACAGAAATGGAGAAATGGCAGAAAGTGAACAGCAGTGATTATTATAAAGATTCAAAAGAGAGTTTCTGATCAAATAATCTTAAGACTAAAATTATTTTTTAAATTCTAAAGAAACCCACATGCCATATGTTTTCAGGCCCCCTTTTATGGCCTCTTACAGAATAGAAATGGTGCCATTTCCTAGCAGGAGATGAGGGGATGGATGGGCAAATGCTGCCATCTTCTGGACATAGCCTGATAAATGGAAAGATGGACAAACCTTCAAAAGTGGTGACAAGCATCACTTCTCAAACAAATAACTTTTCCAATGTTTTCAACAGGAGTGTGATCAAGTTCATATAGATGATGTTTCCTCTGATGATAATGGGCAGGACTTGAGGTAAGCCATGCCTTTTAGTATGCTATTTCCTACAGAAATTCAGCTATGGAGTTTTACACATGTAATTATTTCTTTTATTTCTTTTTAATATATTTTGGGTGTTGCAGTACCTACAGTTTTGCAACTGATGGCTTCCATGCAGCTGCAAGTAGTGCAAACCTTTGTTTGCCAACAGGTGTAAGAGGAGGGGTTGACTGGATGAGGAAGTTGGCTTTTCGTTACAGAAGAGTAAAAGAATTATACAACACCTACAAGAACAACGTTGGAGGTACGTGTGGCTTCTTAAATTGAAAAAAAGGCACTATAGATAGAGGTAGAATTTGAACTGTAGATTCATGTTCTATATCACAGACTACCCTACTGTAAAATAAATTAAGACCTCATGCCAATCTCTACTGAGCCAGAATTTTAAGTTTCTTAGAGTGGGGTTAGGGGGCAAATCCAGCTGCAAAACAAAACGTCCAGCTCTGTCAAAACAATTGGGAATTCTCTGTGCTCAGATATTTGGTAAATATTTACAGCAGAACATTTAGTTTACCCCTCTTCAGCTGGGACGCCATCAGTGAAAACCAGACAGAGGGCCTGATGGAGGCAGTGAGAAGACCTGTTTAAGGACAAGAGCCCCAGTCACTGAAGCAGAGTTGTTAGCAATCATTGCTTTTCTGGAATCCTATCAAAGCTAAATATAAACAGTGTTCTATGTCACTTCATAGAACAAGACTTCAACAAGTCTATTGTATCCACTTAAAAATCACATGTTATCTGACACTATATCTTCCCCACGTATAGTGTTAACTGTGGTTTTTAAAAATTCAAATACTCTATAGGTAATATACTCATCCGTGTATTACAGGTGATATAAAAACCTGTGAAGCACCAGCCGAGTGGCTCAGTTGGTTAAGAGCTCGCTCATGGGTGCGAGCTCTGAGCAACAGCGGTTCAAGTCCCGGCCTGAGCTGAGCAACCGCTGAGCTGCCAACAGGTAGCAGGATGGCTCAGCGAAAACAAAACAAAACCAAAAAAACCCCCTGTGATATCAAAACTAAGAGCTGGGATGTGCTTCTTTATATAATAAATCTTGATGATTTCTATTATAGGATCAATTTTAGATCAAGATCTTAAGGTTAGTCATGAGGTCACATAAGATGCTTCTCCGGGGACTTTGTTTGTTTGTTTGTTTCTCACTTTTCTTTTTTAAAGGATGATTGAGGAGCATAAACCAGAATCTAAAATTGAATGATACAGCTAAATACACTTGTGTATACTATACACATGTATATTCACATGCATGTCATAGAATACAATATAGTCAGTAAAATGTGTATCTATAGTATATACATATATATTACACACACCCATTCTCATCACAGGGTGGGGTCGTGTGTCCATTCACCTGGAATCCCCAGTGCCTCACTAGCCTTGAGGCACATAATACATGCTCCAAAGATAATCAATAACTACAAGAGAAAAAAAAGTGTAGAACCATAGACATAATAATGTTAGAACCAAAAGGGGGCTTACATGTGGAACACCTTCATTTCCAAATGAGAAATAGGCCCTTGAAGGCTACTGACTTGCCCAGGTTTCTTGCCCAATTCTAGGAAACAATTGAGGTTTCCTATTTTACTCTAATGATCTATAGGAAATACTTTTTAAAATCAAATAAATAGGTATTCTATTTAAAATCAGCTATGGGCAACGTGTGTAACTTTATAATAAATATCCTTTTGGGAAATCTGAACTTTTATCATTCAGGTATGTTATCATTTCCCTCTTGAAGAGTATTATTAAAATTATTTCAAAATTAACAAAATACTAATAAATATTCTTATATCTTAAGTTTAAACAATGGCATGACAGTCCATTTTCAGTGGCATGTTAGCATATCTATATTGAAATAAGGACAAGTGAGATTTGCTAGAAACTATAAATTTTGATTCAAAAAAAATCATCCACTTGTGTATATGTTCCCAGTATTCTGAAATATTATTAAAATAAGAAACTTTCTTTTGTAATGGATTTACATGATCTTGTTTTATCGTGAAAGCATGGAATTAAAACATTAGCATGCCTACTTCTTGTCTTATCATAACTTCAATTTTGTTTTCAACCATTGTTTATAACTGTGTCATATATTTCAGGATTTTCAAAACATTTTTTAACTTTTTTTATAAAACAAAATATTTGTGATAGCTTTAGTGCTACTATTAGAAACATTCTAGAAGCTATATATGATCATGCTATTATCACTGTCTCTCAAAGTGTTAATGATTGTGATTTTTAAGAAACTAACCATTTTCATACAGCCTAAACATATGAGGTGTGTAGTCTTCCCATGAGGCTGGGAGGCCCCGACTTCTCCTCCAAACCTGTTGCATCACAGTCTTGGAGTGGGACCTAGGCACCGGAGTGGTCAAAACTCCCCAGAGGATTGGCATGGACAGTGCCTGGTTCTATGTTCAGTGGGAGCAGAAGCCACGACCCCCTTTTTCACTCTTACAGCCCAGTCTTTAGGCCAGTCAACTGACATCTAGAAGTCATTCAATGAATATTGTGGAATGAATTCATGGATGACCAGTTTTGAAATGAAGGATCAGTATTGATATAAATCAGACTCTCTCTCCATCTCGGCTGTAGGCTGGAAAAAAAAAAAAAGATCTATACTAGACAGGAAGGAGACCAAACGAGTCATTGTAGAAAAACGTTCATGACTTGACCCTGCCTTTCTTTTCGGTATTGCAGGACTCCTTGGTCCTGCCAAGAGAGATGCTTGGCTGCAGTTACGGGCAGAGATTGAAGGCCTGACAGACTCTTGGCTAACAAATGCACTGAAGTCATTATCAATTATTAGTACTAGGTAAGTGGTATTCTTGCAGTTGCTGTATTTATTGACTTGAAGATATAGTCCGGATAACATAACATATATAAAAANTTTAACTTTGGATTACATACTATATTAAATATATATTTTTAAATACCTGGCAGGATCTCTGGTAGAAATACTAACTGAGGCAATGTTGGTATTGACTTTTTCTTCTGTGATTATAAGCTTTTTAGTTGTGTTTTAGAACATGATAAAAATTTTATGTGACTCAAACACAAAACTTAGTATCCAGCAATCCAGTACGTAGTCAAAGAAATGATTAGGCCTCTGCATATAAATTGATTGAATTCCCACACATGCGTGCCACATGCCTACATGTACTTTCAGATGAAGTGCCCAAGGAAACTCAGAGGCTTATTGCTGACTTAAGTGAGATAAACACTAAAACCAATAAAATCTAAACAATAAGTGTCAAGATCATTCAGTACCATTACATGTATATCCACTCTCCCTCTGCATCTGACTTCGAAAGTCAACTTTACTTTTCACCCAAGTTTTTATTTCAGTAAACCTCTTGTAATCAAAGATTATCAAGGGCTTCAAAACTGGTATTAAGCTATTTCTGTTCCTGACAAAGAGGAGAATTCCTCAAGGGAGGAACTCCATCATTAGCCTAGTATGTTGTCTTTGCCTTGTGTATTTAATCTCTCAAGGTTTCTTTTCTTAACCAAAAAGTCTAATTCGAGACTCAAATCCTTCAATAGATACTGCAGCATATGTAGTAGCAGCTGCTTTCACATAATTCCTTAGAAGATGCACATTTAAATCCTCCTAATAGACTCTTTCCTGTATCCTGCCCAACTGCAGGGAAAGCAAATGCTCAGCCTACTCCCCCTAAGAGAAGAATGCTCTGTTCAAATAAAATGTTATTTCAGTTAGAATAACTTCCAGAAAAGAAGGCAGCAGGGAGCTCAGGCTCACAAAAATGAGAGAAGACTGCTGTGGATTATAACTGATAAAGATCAGTGACAACTTTGTGGTTGCCTTATAAAACAAAATTAAAGAATTTAAAATGAGTACCAGAATTATCCCAAATGTTTCAGTTCTTATCCTGAAATTTGTTAAAGCCAAAGCATTCTACTGTTTTTAGCATTTCAGGTTTTGGTCTAACATGATTCCTGCAAAGTTCTGAGTGGAAACTAATTGAAGAACAATTATTTAGATTTTTCTAAAAATGTAAGTGATTGAAGTTCAGGTTTCTTTCACTGGACTGTAATCCTCGGGCAAGAGTCCAGAGTCAACAAGCATAGTTAACTAGGCATAAATTTAAAGAGAAGTTCCATTTGGAAAAACCTCAAACAGAACTTCAAATATAGAGCTCATGGTCCAATAAGTTTGATATACTGATGTCCTCAGGAGTAAAAAAACTGAGTTTGGGGGCAAAATGCATGAATTAATCATATGAGTTAATACTTGAAATGTCAGAGGAATTTCTCTAAAAGTTAGGATGAGAGGGTATTAAATATAGAAATAACATCTAATTACCGAGGTAATTCATAAAAATTTCCTCCTGCATTTTTTTTGGATATTATTAGTTTGTTGTAAAAGAAAGACATGGAAATTATTTACATGATGAAAATTTTAGAACTTAGGTGTAATGACCAGCTGCATGTAATGCCATTTCAATAGTGATTTAATTTTAGTCTTCATATTTACCAAGAAGGTCACCTTCTCTAAATAAGAAATGATCCTTGTCATCTAGAACTGCTGTGCTACCTCCATATTCTGACAGAAGACATTATTTCCAGTTTTCGTGCTAACTGGTTAAAGCTTTCTACTCTTTTCCTTTAGAGCTTATTTTAAGACCTGCTATTGTTGCTTGCAGTACTTTTCCCTGAGATTTTTCTGGAAACATAATACCTTTTGTGGTTAAACTTTGGGCTGTACTCCTTTCAACGAATGAATACTCAGTCAAAATGGGGAAGAACTTTTCTAAATGCCTGCCCTACCATGAATCCTGGGGCCTCAGTTCTTACCTCATTTTCTCACTCTCCCCTCCACTCTTGATATAAATATCTTCTTACACTCCTACCATCTAGAATATTATTTCATATCACCATAACTTTGTGTTACAAAATTTAAATGATTGTGATAATTCTGTCAAGAACTCTCATTTGTCTAGATGTCTGCCATGTATTCAGCAATGAAACATTGAGTGATTACTCTGAGACAGATTGTGCGTTAAGTAGGGGTCTATCCAGGTCACCCAAACACCCCCTTCAGGGAACTTCCAGTCAGATTATCTTTTCAAGACCCCTCCTTACCTATGAATATAGGTGCAGATTTATCCAAAAATTACTAAACACAAAATTTATGTAAACTATATAAATCTTTAACATTACCTGAATTTTTAAGTTATGTACTAAAATCATATATTGGGCTAGTCATTAAGTTTTATATTTTAAAAGACACCTGTGTCAACTAGTTCATCCTAAACCTGCGACAGTATCTAATATACTCCATAAGGTAACCTGGAGACGAAATATTAACTATTTCACTACTAGATACTTCCAAGTCCTATAATAAATATAAGTAGTCGCTGAAAAGCCTTTGTTTAGTATGGCATCCTATTTTCAACGTTAATAATTTTTTAAATTGGCTTTGAATGGTTAGCACCATGTATCCAGTCAGAATTGGTGAGAAAGACTAAAATAGTTTGAGGGGGCGAGAAGGCCCCAAAGATTAAACCATACTTATCCTGAGGTTAGTAAGTACTATGTATTTTAAATGCCCTAGCCAAATTCCACCTTCCNTTTTTTTTTAATCAGGCAAGAAAAAGCAAAAGTAGCCATGACTGCATGAACACTCTGGTAATGAAATTCAGAGCCTAATACCAATGTTATGAAAATAAAGAACATATAGAAATTACACAGTGTTATTCCGATAGTGTAATCTGAGAACACTAGTGTCACCAGTGCTATGATCCAATCAAACAGCTCCCTTAGTACAATTAGTCTGAGCAGACTAGCTCCCATCCATTGGAAGAAAAGAGTTATATGTCAAGGTAAATCTCAAATTAGCATTTCCTCTTTCCTTATAGGTAAGCCTTCAATTTTTCACAATAGTATTTTCAGTTTGTCAATACTATTTAAAATAAACTAGATAACATTGGTATATAGAATGAAAAAATAAATGTTGAAACTTATAGTTGCCTGTAGAGTTGTTCCAATATTCTTTTGGTGGAGTGAAAGATATTAACATTTTCTCTGGGTCCAATGTTTAACCCCACAGAGTTTTTTGAAGTGTAGATCGCATTTGTTGAATAATCTGTCCCCACGTAAAGACTTAACATTATTCAAGTGTATTTGCTGATTTCATTAACTCAGAGGCTGCAAGCTAGTTTAAGTGGTCGGTGTTCACCAGAAATTAACTTAACGCTTTATGAATCTTTAGGTTAATGAATGCAATGGCTGGAAGAATAAGCAGTGCATTGTTTTTCAGGCAAGGAAAGCTGTTTTGAGCGTATAGTGTCCAGGTTTGGCACTAACATAACTTATGTTGTGATTGGAGATGGCCGGGATGAGGAGCATGCCGCTAACCAGGTAACTTCATGCTCAACTTTATCTCGTTTATCTTCCAGGAAAAGAAAGTTGCTTTGAACGAATAATGCAAAGGTTTGGCAGAAAAGTAGTATATGTTGTAATTGGGGATGGTGTAGAAGAAGAACAGGCAGCAAAAAAGGTAACCTGTCTCAAACAATGTTGGTGTGATACTTCTAATGCAAGCTTTTTTGTTTGCATTCTTGTAGTTTGGCCCAATGGCAGCTTGACAAATGATTTAAAGTTATAGATGCAAAGCAGTAAACGCATGAGAAGGTCAATACTTACATTCAAATAAACCATTTGGAGGCTAGCATTTTTTTTTTNTAATTCCCACAGGAAGGTCATGTGACTCCCAATGGAAAAAAAGACAACAGCTCTCTGTTAGTGACAAAGTACAGGAGATGGTGGCAAAAATAAAACAGCACTGTGTATACAAAGAGTGCACGTTTTTAAGTCTTTTAGGTCATTACAGATAATATGCATCAAAAAGGAAGAGAAAGCTCTTGAAAAAATTATAAACTTTGTGTTGTTTGAACTAAACATTGAAATACTGACTCGTTAGTGTAGATAATAGAATTGAATAGATTTAGAATTAGTTGAACACCATGTGCTATAAATGCTAATTAATAAAATAAATCTGGAAAGTGATCGCTAGTAGGGTGGGGATGAATCTTTGCACTATACTATTCCTAGTTTTATTTCTGAGTTAAATGATTAAATAAAAAACAGCATGCTTAGCAAATTTGTGGCTAACATGAAATTCAGAAAAAAAAGTGAATAGTTGGACTGATTGAATCAGGATACAGAAAAACCTTGGCAGTGTAAAGGAGTCCAATATTCAGAACATGGAAGCACATGAGTATGTGTCAAATCCTGCACGTGGCCTCTAGCCATGTGCCATGACCAGCAAGCACACCGAGAGCAGAAAGTCTAAATGGCGGGGAGAGTGAGGGGAGGGGCCAGTTGCTTCCTGAGCCAGGATGGGGAAGCTAGAACAGAGTACTTTGCTCAGCTCTGCACACCCCATTACAACAGGGGCTGTGACAAATTTGAAGCATCTTCTGTCCAGCAAAATGTCTAGAAGGGGTTAGGCTGTGGAAACCACATGAAAGAAACAGTTGGAGGGAGGAACCCAGGAGTTTAGTCTGAAGAAGAATCATCTGTGGGACCATATTACTGATTCAACTGCTTGACACGTTAGGCTGAAATAAATGATATTTCTCGCAATGTCTGCAAAGAAAAGAATTCAGACTGATGAGTAGGAATCCCAGGAAGGAAGAATTGTCTATTAAAGTTGTTTTAAAATCAGACTTGCTGCCTTGTGATCTCTGTAACTAGTAACATGGAGACCAAAGGTCAAGAAAGCTGGGATGTGAGGACTCCCAAGCTCCTGAAACTGTGTGTAAAATGTAGCGGAACATGCGTTTCTCTGGGGAGAAGCTCAGCAGCTTTTATTATTTCTAAAAGAGATATCCTAGAGTGTTAAAAACCAAAGGTTGTTATATTATTAGGTAGATTTTATATGTATTATACATACTGCATTATATGGAGATTATTATTAAAAACATGATCTTAAAAAAATCACATGGACATGTGATTTTTAAGAAATAAGGTATAACAAGGAAATGAAGGATAAAATAAGTCATGACACCTGAAGATTTAAGTACCATGAAATTTGCTAAGTTAACCACCCATATGACCATATTGGTAATTTCGCCAAATGTCTGGGATATCAGAAAAACAGATGCTTGTACAAAACATTGATGAATTAGGTATCAGAGCCTTTAGAAAAGTTTATACCCTCTGATTTTATGCCCTCTTTTATGAATATAGTCAAAGGACATAATCAAATGTGTAGAAAAATGTATATGTAGGTAGTATTATTTATAATATCGAGAAGTCAAAAACCATCTAAGTGACCAAGCTTAACTTTAAAAAGTGATGATGCAGCCATGTGAGAGAGTATTTTGCACACATTATGTTTTGTTGGGAGAGGGGGAATAAAAGACAATATTACATAAATGAATAGGCTCATGATATAAACAAATGAAAAGAATAGAACACAAAATTGTATATATATGTATATATATATATATATATATATACATATATATATATATCTCCTAATGGGAAAAAAATCTATAACCAAACATAAAATAAATGGGGACAACAGTTACCATCTCTGCATTGTTAAATTTTTGATGGTTTTCATTTCTTCTTTATATTTATCTGTATTTTGCAAATATATATATGCAATTTATAAATATATGTAATGTTTGTAATTAAAAATTCCAATGCATTATAAATTGCATATAAATATATACCATGATGTAACTCTAAATATCATACAGTGTAAGTGGTGAAACTAGATTTCAAAAATCACATCTTTAAACTTAAAAAGCCTACGCTTTATTTTATTCCACCATGTTTTCATTCTGTAACTTTCATCTATATGTGACATTGAGTAGCACCTTGTTTTGACAAAATATTATGTAGAACTTTAAGTGTCACAATATAATAATGTTTGTGTATTATTATTAATAATCTGCCATAATTTGGGGAGTTTCTGTCTGATAGTAAGCAAGTCACTTTCTAGGTCTTTATTTCCTCATCAGTAAAATGAAGGATTTTATTGTTGAAACTTACTCAGCTTCTACCTCTAGAAGTCTTTGTTACTTTATCCCATATATGTCAATAACCTCATTTGCTTCCAGGAGTCAGAGATCCTATTATAAAATCAGGTGTCTATGCAGGTAATTTAGAAATGAAAATGTTTTAGAAGGCTATAATTGTAAAGGTTTTATAATTGTTTCTGAATAAATTATAGGGGTTTTTTTCTTACAAACGATATATCTAAAGAATAGAAAGCATAATATTAATTGTACTGGGGGCCAACCATATACATACCCCTGCAAAGGTAGCACTCAATTTGCTCTTCTAAGTTGCCATAGAGACCAAGTTCCTGAAAATCATCTAGAGAATTCTACAGAATATTTTACGTCCCTCACAAATATGTATTAAAGGCTCATGATACAAAACATCAAATAAAGAAAGGTTCACAATTCCCAATTTCACCTGTGTGGTTTTCAGCTCCTCAAGGCAGGACAGCTCAATTTTCCCATACAGAAGGAAGGGCCAAGTTTATTCTTTCGGGGTCTCTGCCTGCAATTCCCACTCTCTTGGTGTTTCCTTTATCTCCCCTCAGTACTGTCATGAAAACAACAAAAACAAACAAACAAACAAAAAACACTTGTAAATTGCAGAGTCACAGTCTCACTCTTAAAGGGTAGGTTGCTGTAGACAGATTAAAACTGGGACCATTAAATGCAATTTGCCCTTTATTGTTGCTGAAGGCAAGATTCAAGCATTCAGCCCCTTCTGTACTAAATAAAGATCCTCTCCACTTTTACTCCTTCAGGATCCATCGTCTGCCAGCCCCTTGATTGGGCCTCTCTCTGCTGTTTCTTGTACAAAATCCAAAAACTCCTGCTTACCCATCCTCTCTCGCTCTTTCTGCCTACGTCCCATACTTTCCCAGTCTCTGAAAATACTGGGACACAGAGTGCTACCACCCTCACAAAGGACCTGCTCTGGATACTTGTAAACCTTAGAACTAGGCCATCCTCCTCCTAATCACCTTCCCATGATTGCAAAGGCTGAAATAGGTATTGTGCTCTGAGCTTCCACAGGGACCTGAGGAGATCTTTATTACACAATATATTCCATACTGCAGGTATCCATTGGCTTGTCTCTCTCCCTATCTGTCTTGTGGATTTAGAGGGGGAGAAAAACATCATTCATCCATGACTTCTTTTTGCTCAGTTTTTCTACGTCCCCTGTTTTGGGATGGATTCCTAGCATCTGTCATGGTGCCTGCCAAGCAGTAGACACTCCATACATAACTGTTGAATGATAAAAGGTTAGATTATCAGGGGCTATTTATTATGGGATTGAGAGACCACAGTGATAATTTAAAATCTGTGCTATTAGAAGCTATTTAGTATTAGAAAACAAATATGCATATTTCCTCCCTATCTTAGGAGTAACTGCGTAAATGTCTTGGTAACGACAACCCAACTGATCCCAGCGCTTGCGAAGGTTCTACTCTATAGTTTAGGAGGTGCTTTCCCCATTGAGAATATTTACAGTGCAACTAAAATAGGTAAGAAAATTATTTCTAACTCTGTGTGGAATGTGTTCACGTATGTGTTTTGGGAGATGTTCTTAATGTGTGTCTCTTGCATCAATTTTGCTGTTAGAATACCAAGCAAATTTGGATAGCACTCAAATAACAAAGTCCCCTATGACTCATTGTACATATGCAAATTTTTTGAAAACTGTTACCTACTGAAATTTTTAACTCAGCATCTGGATAGTTCTGAGATATATATTTTCATCATGGCACATGTTATCTGAATATACAGTATCTCTAGCCATGGTATTTAATATTTTATTTAGAATGGTATATAGCATTTCATCTTTGCATATGCATTCATCTAGATTTAAGATAAAAATACTATTTTGGCATTATAAGGAAGTGTCAGACGGATTGATCAAGTATCGTTAATTTCAGAAAAAAAACAAAGAATTTCATGAATTAAGAAACTTAATTGGAACATTCATTACACATGAATGGCTAGAAATGCACACTTCTAAAAATGTTCAGTAGCAATCAAAGAACCTTGGTTATTTGGATAATATCTATTTGTGGAGCCATCATGGACTTTAAGTTCCTTTCACAGGCTAAGACTTCTAATAAATTTTCAAAAACAAAATTTCATCAACTTCTAGCATCTTGAAAGAGTTAAAAGAAAACAGCTCATGTATTCCTCTGTCTGTAAAGGAAATGCCTGGGGAAATAGATGGGTTGTGTAATGTGCCCTGAAGGTCAACAAACTTAGGCTCCTGGCACCTGGACAAGAGAAGTTCAAAATCCTAAAATCCCCTCCCAAAAATAACCTGCCCTGCGCCTTGCAGAGTTTTAATATTGGCACAGGCAAAAGGAGCCCCCAGTTGCAGCTGTTTCAGGAGTACAGTTAAAGAGCCAAGTTTTCATAACGTAAATTCTACGTTATCATAAGCACTACCGTTCAGAACTCTGATATCAACACCATTCTGTTTTACATAAATGCATGTATTTACACTAGCAGGATTAATATAGAGAACTTGATTTTGTTTTTGACAAATGAAATAATTTCATACCAGCATAAACATTTCTTCTAGTAAGGACAATATTCTTTCTTATTGGCCACAAATTGTTCTTTATATTTAATCTGAAAAAAAATCATTTTTATTTTTCCTTTTAAGCTAGCATTTTTTTTT